GTCTCTGATACTCTGAATTCATGAATGACTTGACAAACTTTAGATATCTCTAGGCATTGCTATGATGGCTTTCCATGTTTCTCTTTTAATTATGTTATTCAACGTCAGAAGGCTGCAGCTCCAGGAGTACAGAGCGCCATGTTTTGTGCCCTCTTGCCTGCTCAGTTGTGTGTGACTACTGCAAGGTATAAAAAAAAGAAAGCAGGTATATGTGAATGTGCGTGATGGTGTGGTATGCATGGTGTATGAGTGTGTGTGTGTGTATGTGTATGTGTGTGTGTGTGTATTCTGGGCTTGTACTATATGTGGAACGTGTATGGGTGGGGGAGGAGCAGGGTACTGAAAGTTATAATGCATAAAACTAGAATTTCAGCCTTAAAAGACAGAATTAAGAATTGAGAAATATGAGAAAAAGTAAATAATCATATATGAATACACTTTAAAATTCCATGAAACAAGACTTTCCATTTAAAATTGCCTTTAATTAGTAATACTTGACATACTCTCTATCCAAGTTATCATTGGTGTAGGGAAAAGAAAGAGAGATCAGCCTGTTACTGTGTCTATATAGAAAGAAGTAGACATAAGGGACTCCATTTTGCTCTGTATTTGAGATGCTGTTAATCTGTGACCCTACCCCCAACCTTGTCCTTGCAAGAGACATGTGCTGTGGTGACTCAAGGTTTAATGGATTTTGGGCTGTGCAGGATGTGTCTTTGTTAAACAAGTGCCTGAAGGCAGCTTGCGGGTTAAAGGTCATCACCATTCTCTTAATCTCAAGTACCCAGGGACATGTACAGGGCCAAAGGTCGCAGGGACCTTTGCCTAGGAAAGCTAGGTATTGTCAAAGGTTTCTCCCCATGTGATAGTCTGAAATAGGGCCTCGTGGGAAGAGAAGGATCTGATCGTCCCCCAGCCTGACACCCGTGAAGGGTCTGTGCTGAGGAGGACTAGTACAAGAGGAAAGAAGGCCTTTTGGCGGATGTTGGCAGTTGGATAGAGAAAAGCATCTGTCTCCTGCCCGTCCCTGGGCAATGGAACATCTCGGTGTAAAACCCGATTGTATGCTCTGTTTACTGAGATAGGAGAAAACCGCCTAACGGCATAAGGTGGGACTTGCTGGTAGGACTTGCTGGCACAATGCTGCTAAAAGGTTTATGGAGATGTTTACATGTGCATATCAAGGCACAGCATTTTCCTTTGAACTTATTCATGTCACAGAGATCTTTATTCATATGTCTTACTGCTAATTTTCTCCCTACAATGATCCTATTGTCCTGCCACTCCCTTATCTTTAAGATGGTAAAGATAATTATCAATAAATACTAAGGGAACTCAGAGACCGGTGCCGGTGTGGGTCCTCAGTATGCTGAGCGCTGGTCCCCTGGGCCCACTTTTTCTTTCTCTATACTTTGTCTCTGTGTCTGTCTCATTTCTTTTCCCAAGTCTCTCGTTCCACCTAACGAGAAATGCCCACAGGTGTGGAGGGGCAGGCCACCCCTTCAGTTGCGGCACAGATGAAAACAGAGATGAGGGTGAAAGCTAACACCACCACCAGCAGCCCAACGCTAGAATATGAGTGGGATTTTCAATTACCATGAAGCAAGTGGAGATGGATTATGAAAAAAATGTGTGAAGTCTTCACCTTACGACATTGATAGGCTTTGTCTCATGAAATAAACACAGCCTGAGAAAAAGGTAAACAGATACTTTGTACCTCCCTCATATATGACCTTGAACTCAAAGATCCTGAGTCTGTGCTAAGCAGAAATTCTAGGCAGTTCTCTTTCTTGTTTCCGAATAATTCTAATCCACTTTTAGATTCACAAAATTCAGGCCTCCTCGTTATCCCAGATCTACCACTTACAACTGCATAACTTGGACACACCCCTTAAGTTTTCTGAGTCACTTAACATTTTGAAGATAGTGTCTATGTCATTGGTATCAAGAGATTTAAGTAAGTATGGGGCTTAATAAATATTAACTTATTTTACTCTTAAGAAAAAAGGCAAAACTGGCACAAAAAAGGCAAATATTTTATTATATAAAGACAGCATAGTTTTATTATGTCATACTACCAGTGGCCTGAATCATCAATTCTATTTGCTGATTATTGCCAAAAGGGAGTGCAGAGGAACTATTCTAAAACTAAAGTAGTTATTTTTGGAAGCCATCCTGTTACTTTCAATTGGTATATAAATAACAACCGCATACAATAAATTACCTTGTTTACTTATTTTGGTGCATATTCACTCACAGTTTATTTTGGAGGGTACACCAGAAAATAGCACTCCTGAAAGTTTAGCATTTTGCTTTTGTCCAGGCAAGCGTGTGATTTTACTTGCCTTAAATTCTTCAGGTATAATTATTTGTGTGCTATAATATG